TATAGTGACTCAGAGAAAACACCATGGAGTTCAGCATGGAGCCAGGTTTCTTGAGTGGGAGTGAGTTTCCTGGCATAGGAGAGGCTGGTGTATGGGGAAGCGAGGATAGGCAGCCTGCCACTGCCTTCTGCTAGAGGCGCATTTAAAGGAGTGTGACTGAGATTCCCCTCTAGTGGCTGAGGTTGGCACTTCCTTAGAGGACTGGGCTGGGATTTCTTTCTTTTTTTTTTTTTTTGAGTTGGAGTCGCTTATTTTTTTTATTTTTTATTTTTGAGTTGGAGTCTCACTCTGCCGCCCAGACCGGAGTGCAGTGGCCGCTCCTGGCCACCGCAGCCTCGACCTGCTGGGCTCCAGCGATCCTTCCGCCTCAGCCTTCCAAGTAGCTGGAACTACAGGCGTGCGCTACCACGCCCGGCTAATTTTTGATTTATTGTAGAGATGAGGTCTCACCAAGTTGCCCAGGTGGGTCTCGAACCCGCGGGCTCAGGCAATCCACTCACCTCAACCTCCCAAAGGCGCGGGATTACAGGCTGAGCCACCGAGCCCGGCTTGAACTGGGATTTCTTAGTCTAGTCCATAGTGCATATTCCTAAATATAGAATTAACATCTCCTCTATGCCAGGCACTTTTATGTGCTTGTCTTCTATAATCCTCACAGCATACATATGAAGTAGATACTATTTTTTTTATATCTCAGTTATATTTTTGTAACTCCTCAGTTTGTTTTCAAAGCAATCTTTTCTGATATACATCCATTGGAATTTTACATTAATTATTTCTTCTTTTTTTTTTTTTTTGAGTCGGAGTCTCACTCTGTAACCCAAGCTGGAGTGCAGTGGCACGTTCACGGCCACCGCAGCCTCGACATGCTGGGCTCAGGTGATCTTTCTGTCTCAGCCTTCCAAGTAGCTGGAACTATAGGCACACACCACCATGCCTGGCTAATTTTTTGATTTATTGTAGAGACGAGGTCTCACCAAGTTGCCCAGGCTGGTCTCGGACCCGCGGACTCAGGCAATCCTGTCACCTTGGTTTCCCAAAGTGCTGGGATTATAGGCTTGAGTCACCACACCTGGCCCACATTAATTATTTCAAAGGATACATACATTACCTATATTTGCCTATAAATTTATTGAATGCTTATGAAAGAATACTTAACATATCAGTATTCAAACGCCTACAAAATACAACTTTTTTCCATCTTTTTTTTTTTTTTGAGTTGTCATCACACTCTGTCGCCCAGGCTGGAGTGCAGTGGCACACTCACGGCCACCCCAGCGTCGACTTGCTGGGCTCCAGTGATCCTTCCACCTCAGCCTTCCAAGTAGCCAGAACTACAGGCACATGCTACCACACCCAGCTACTTTTTAATTTTATTGTAGAGACGAGGTCTCACCAAGTTGACGGGGCTGGTCTTGAACCCGCGGGCTCAGGCAATCCACTTGCCTTGGCTTCCCAAAATGCTGGGATTACAGGCTGAGCCACCAAGCCCGACCTTTTTCCAGCTCTTAAATTATTTCTACTCACCGAAGCCAGTTTATATTTGACATTTGGGTTACAAGGACATAAAAAAAAAAAAAGACATATTCTTCAATTGCTATGTTTTAAGCCAGCATAAATGTGTCCTTTCTGGATATAATTAAGTTTTCAGAGGGAAAGTGGTACAAATAGGAGCAAATGAGCCGACCTCCTCATAAAATAAACTAGACAACAATCAAGAAGTTTTAAAGATGCTAAAAGATTGAGTCCATAAATCTTTCTCTCTTTCCTATTTCTTACACATACAAGTGTGCACAATGGGTGTGCATGAATTAAACACCCCTATTTAGACTGTGAGCTCCCACAGAGGGGGCTGCCATCACCCTGTAAAAGGTCCCAGGGCAAAGACAGAAGCAGCACAAGAGAGCAGAGGGCACCTGTCCTTCATCAAGCCATCCACACAAACCGACTGAAGAGGTAGACTCGATTATTTAAGCCTCGAAGCTGAGATGTTGACCTGGACCAAGTGATGTCTTACTTTTTCTGTATGTTTTATTTTGTTGTTTTATATGTTGTTTGTCCCGCTATTTTTGTAACTGGGGCAAAGTGAGAAGCTTAAATAGTCTAAGAATGCTTAATAAGTCCCGTAAACCATCTGAATCAAATATTTTTATTTTTTCTTCTGCCAAACACAGCAGATCTCCATCTACCATTATTTTTTAATTTTTATTTCTTGAATTGGAGTCTCACTCTGTCCTCCAGGCTGGAGTACAGTGGCATGCTCATGGCCACCGCAGCCTCAACCTGCTGGGTTCAGGTGATCCTTCTGCCTCAGCCTTCCAAGTAGCTGGAACTACAGGCATGCGCATCATGCCCGACTAATTTTTCTTGATTTGTTGTAGAGATGCAGTCTCACCAAGTTGCCCAGGCTGCTCTTGAACCCATGGGCTCTGGCAATCCTGTCACCTCAGCATCCCAAAATGCTGGGATTATAGGTGTGAGCCACCATGCCTGGCTGATTATTATTATTATTATTTGAGTTGGAGTCTCACTTTGTCGCCCAGACTGAAGTGCAGTGGCACTCCTGGTCACCGCAGCCTCGACCTGCTGGGCTCCGGCGATCCTTCCACTCAGCCTTCCAAGTAGCTGGAACTACAGCTGCGCACTACCACGCCCGGCTAATTTTTTGATTTATTGTAGAGATGAGGTCTCACCAAGTTACCCAGGCAAGTCTCGAACCCGCGGACTCAGGCAATCCACTCACTTCAGCCCAAAGTGTGGGATTGCAGGCTGAGCCACTGAACCTGGCTGACGATTATGTTTTTTAAAGTAAGAAACAGTACATCAACTGAAGAAAGAGCTGGGGCCTTGGACTGTGGAAAATTATTACATTTTAGCATGTTGATTGAGAAACACAGAGCGTT